CGCTGGGTGCTCCAGCGCCTGGACGAGGAGCCCCTCACGACCCGCCTGAGCTGTCGGGGCTCCCAGCACGGAGAGCGTGCCCAGCCCCCCGAGCAGCCCCCAGGCACCAAGTCCCCGTCCCTCCCCACCGAGGACGGGATTCCCAGGTAACACCGTTCACCAACTTCTTACACGATGTGCCAGAGGCTGACCTTGAGCTCTGCCCCGGCTCCCCAGCAATTACCCGTTCCTCTGCGGTTTGTCCCTAAAGAGCCAGCTCCTCCTCTCCTGTTCTCACCAACATCAAAGTCGGCGATAAACTGCCACGGCCATACGGACTCACGCTGCACTTGACTCCAGATGAAGGAAGCCCCACCCCGAACACAAACAGGAGGTGTGCGAGGGCATGTGGACACAGCACAAGACTCCGAAACCACCGTCCATGTGGTGAGGAGACTGCGGCACGGCACCATTTCCAGCTGTGCAAGCACCAGCAGCAGCATCTGCCTGCTCTGGAGGGCAGGTAGGAACTTGCCCTGCTGCTGCTCCGCAGCCAGATGCGGCCACCCAGCCCCGGCCAGTGGTGCCGAGCTCCCGCACAACGCCACGTCCCTCCCCAGCCAGCTCCTGGCAGCTGGAAAGCTTTGGCTCTAGACAGACGCAGCAAGCGGAGCCGGCTGTGGAAAGCACCGCGTCTGCTCAGCCACAGCAGCAAGGGAGGAGAGAAGGTGATGGATGGACAGAAAGGGAGACTGTAGGTAACGCAATGGCGTCAGGGTTGGCCCTTGGGACCCTCCCCAAGTCAAGGGGCAGCAGGGAGGGACTTTAATCAACTCAGACAATCAAGTCAGACAATAAATCAGCTCCACGTGTGGATGGATTCTTTGCTTCCAGAGAGCAGGCACAGACAAAAGACTCCTCTGATGGAGGCCAGGGTGGGGAAAGTCCCTATGTCAGAGTTTGCAATTCAGATAAGAAGATTAACGGCTGCAGGCTGGAGGGAGAACGGATCTCGGCGCAGCTAGGATGGGTTGCTCTTAAACCTTCCCACGCCTTTGGACAGATGCTGCTCTCCTCCACTGGGAAGGGACCCAAATTCCTTCCCATCCCTTTATGAGCCACTCGCACTGCAAGTCTCAGCACCTCCAACACATTTACATTGGGTTCACACCACCTGGAAGGGCAGACACGGATGTGGAGGACGCAGCACAAGAGCTCCCGGCTGCCAGCGGAGCCTCCGCGCCCGCTCAGCCTGCTGCCTGCCTCCTCCAGAGAGATGCTGCACTTTGCAGCTGGGACCGCTCTGACCTGCTCCATGGCTCAGTGTCGGGCACTGGTGTCTTAACACACCTCTGAACACACAAGCAGCTCCACGAACAGCCTGCCCGCTCCTTCTGCTCGGGAGACACAGCTCCTGCGTGGGCACGCAGGTGTCCAAGTGGAACTGCACCGGGCACTGCTTCTTCAGAACCACATTCCCTAGCAACTCGGCTTCGTCTTTCGCTTCCAAATTCCAACATCACCCTTCCAACAAATAGTGGGGCAAGACCCTGAACGTCCTCACATCCACTCAGGAAAGGGCCGAGAGGAGGGCAAAGCACAAGCACCGACAGCCAGCCTTGCCATCTGCCAAACAGAAGCCGTATCAAAACTTCCTCCAGAAAGATTTCAGCACCTGCACGAGTCTGAGCGTCTCCGAATTCCTCTCGTTCCTCACCCCAGCTGTTCCCCCTTCTGCCAGGGACGGTCTGCGGGGCTCTGCCAGCGCGCTGAAGCACGGAGCGCCCTGCTGCTATCGTGGAGCAGAAACAGGAGAGCCGAAACCATCTGCAAATGCTCGAGCGAGATGGAGCCGGCAACCCAATCTCCCTCCTGCGAGATCCAGAGGTGAATTAACGACCTGGCCCCGCAGGATACTGGATACACTCATTCTTCGCTGGGCTCAGCAACCTGCAGGATGGCCCCAAAGAAGGTATCGCATAGCTAATAGGAGCAAGCCCTACGCAGCAAGAGCGATGATTCACGGGGCTGCAGGGATCCATCACGTGCTGAACAGAAGCACAAAGAGCTTAGAAAATACCTTTCCCGGAAGCGTTTTTGCAGGAGCACTCAGGTACCAGGGTGGAGTGGAGCCGAACCATCTGCAACACGGGCAGGATGCAATACAGGAGAGCGAAAGCTGAGCAGGAGCCCAAACCCACTGTTACAGGAAATTGCTTCTGCAGTAAACAGCAACTGCCACCTATGATTAGGCTTGATTTAAGTGACTGAACTTCCCAATCCTGCCCTCTCCAAGTACGCACGGCTTCTTGACCCCAGCACCATCCCTAGGGCTGGGCAGGGAGAGGGGATAGCTCGCACGCATCAGGGACCAATCACAGAACTGGGCTTCAGCCCAAATTACAGAGAAAAGCCAGGCTAAGTCACTTTTTCCCCCCTTTCCTCGGCTTCCCTTGTCATCACACTCCTGACTTGTCTTTGCAGATTGTCATCTTCTTGGCCTGGGGACTTCAAGTGCCTGCACCCTGCTCAACACAGAAGAGATCTACATAGCAACAAGGGCTTGATGCTATCAGAGAGGATCAGTAATTAACAAGTCAAAAGCACTTTGACATTCCTACACTCACCCAAAGCCTCCTCAGCATCCACCGTCCCAGACAAAGGTTCCTAATAAGCCCTTGGGGAAGTAGAGGAGAGGAAAGAGGAAGGCAACCTCTCGCTCCCCAGCTGGTTAGAGACGCTCTGCGCAGAGAACAGTCCCAGCTTGTCGCATCCCCACCGCAGGGATCCCCCAGCTCCCCGATTGCTGCGGAGGGGCAGCATCTCAGCTCAAGCCCCGATTTGTGCTGCTCTTCCATCCTCCCCACAAACCCACCACTTCAATAGGCAAATCGGACGTCTAAAAGTTAAGCCAGACCACCACCATCAACCCCTACTCTGGTCAGAGGACATTTATTCCTACACACACAAAGCATTGCAGTTCTGCTCCAAATCTTGGGCAAAACGGGGCTTCATCTGGTTGTCCGGCATGAGCTTACCTCCACCCTTCAAATGGCAGCGCCGGATCAGCGCGGGTAAAGCCAGGGCTCCTCTGACCCAAAGCGCATCTGCCCGTCTTTCATGTTAGCAGCAACCACACAGGTAAGTTTTCTGCAGTAATACTGTGCTGTCTTCCAGCACGATAACTAACCGCTCCTGCCCCCAGAGGAAAATTCAATTGCTGAGAAATTTTTTCTTCTGTTGACAAAAGGAAAATTAATGGCTTAAAAAAGGTCCCCCTCCTCCTTGGGAAAAAAAAAAAAAGAATGTCTGCATGGGAGCCCATGGATTTGTTCCGCGGCCCCCAAAGCACATGTTCACATGTTCCCTCCTTTTTGCCACAATATGTTCGAGCCGCTGGATCCCAGACACTCCGGCTGCGCCAAGCTTTCTGCCTGGTCGACTGCTCCAGGCACAGTCTGTGGAACAAGCCAACATCCACCAGCTCCGGAGGAGCTCTCCGCTCTGCCGGCGCAGGGGGGATGACTCATCTGGAGCTCGCAGGGTTGTACTTCCCCGCTCCTGCTCACCCACACAGCCAGCTCTCCTCGGTCAACAGCCGTTCCGGGCTACAAGCGCACCCGGGCAAGGGCAAGGATCCAGAGCAACCTGGAAAGGGCCTGGCCTCAGACAGCTTTGCTGGGAAAACAGCATCTTCCACGAGATCTTACCAGCACTGTTGGCCGCAGGACAGGAGCAGACACCTCCACCTGCAGCGTGTGAACAGCGTGCCAGGCTGTTGGGAGACACTGACTCACTCCCAGGAGCTGACGAGTACGAGTATGAGCAACACGAGCAAGGACCAGCACAGAGGCAGACAACAGCACTGGAAGGGAAACGAGGTTCACCCAGGTAAACGATGTGCTGGCTACAAAACTCCCCAGGCCCCCAGCCGCCGGAGAAGGTGAAGGTTTGAAAGAGGCACCGACCCACCTCGACCCGCACAGCTGTGCCAAGCGGGACAGGGACGACTGCACTCACAGAGAGCTCACCGAGATAAACCAACCTGGTCCAAGGCAAACGATAAACAACGACAGCGAGAACAATGTGATGACGGGAGCGGAGCCAGCACCTACCTACTAAACACACGGCAAAAAATGTGCCTGGAAACCCAGAGCACAATGGTCAGTAAAGCCAAGGACTGGGCGACGAGCAGCGGCCACCCCAGGGCTCTGTGTTCATACGCAGAGGTGTCCAGCTCCTCCCCGGGAACACCAGCCGCCGGCAGCGTCTGCCAGCTCCACTGCCCGCCCTCCTTTTAGCGGCAGATCCACGCAGCCAGCCCCTCTTCCGAGCCAGGATCTGGTGCCAGTTCACTAGGGAAGCCCATCCCTTCTTCGGAAATACAGAAGACCAGACAGAATCCCTTAAAAAAAAATTAAAAACAAACAAACAAAACAAATCAAACTTAATTAGCCTGTGCT